TGCCCTGCCTTTAGACCACAATGTAGAGGCAGAGCTCAGCATTCACGAGGGAAACCATCAAGAAAAAGAGCACACTTCAGAAAATAATGACCATGCCAATCCATCCTGGCCTGGGAAACACGTGGAAATGGACACTTGAGAATGCCTGGCCAATGCGGCAGGACACCACCCTCAGGCAGGTGAAGTGTGTGGACTTGGTGCCTCCACCCTTCTGGGGCTGGCGAGCCAGCTCTAAGAGCTGCGAGGCATCCCTGCAGCTGCTCAGTAGGTTGGTTGAAACCAACTAACTTGACAATGGTGCCACAGAATAAAAAACAAAAAACAAAATCCCTGCAGGAATCCGAGTCTCAGAAGGGACACAATGTTGGCATGGATTGGTCAACGGCAACCTGCTCACCACCCGACTAGGTGCGCAGGAGAGCCAAACAGCATCCTGCACCTGAGGCATCGAGAAGCACTTTGGTCAGAGGAGTGGCAGCATCTCAGGACACTCTCAGATGCTGTTCTGTATCAGCTGGAGACGCCCTGGCAGCCCCGCCCAGCAGGACTTCTACAGGTGGGAATGGAGGAGCGGTGTGACAAAGGACAGGAGGCAGCACTCAAGTGGCAGAGCCATTCCAGAATGTTCTGATGCCGGGGCCCTTGGCATTGGTGAGTTGACCCTATGGCTATGAGCGTTCACATCAATGGGACGTACTAATGGGGTCCGTCTGATATGTTTTATATTGATGGAAGTGAAAACAAAAAAAAGTTAAATTAGGTCTGGTGGACAGAACTCCCTCACCAAGTGCCTAAACAATGCTTGGCACATAGCAGGTGTTTAATACATAATTGCTGAATAAACTCCATTGTCCCTTGCCCAATTCCCATTGTTCCCAATTGCCAGATTCTATTGACTTGATTCAATAGACGCAAAGCCCCTTAATGAAGGGAGGATGGTCACCTGCAGTAATCTCATAAGCAAAGACTGGGACTCTTTTGAAAAGTGCCTATACAGAGAAATACCTGACCTTTCAAAAGTATTGCACTCTGGTTCTAAGCTAACACCAATTCCTGGTGGCTCAGTATGTCACTATAGCTCATCACCAGGTGTGAGGGCTTCCTGGAGGCAGGGACACATCAAGTTACAGAGCTGTGCCCTGTGTCTACCTCACCACAGCCCACCGGGATCCTGACCCTATCCTGATGTTCAGTTGACAGAGGCATGCTTGGTGGCTGGCAGTAACTCCTGCCCAGTCCCTGACTAATGGCAAAGAGACTCTGGTAGGAAAGGCTAACTGAAAGTTTCTGAACACCTCTCCCCTATGAAGGAGGGGATCGTTAGCAACATTTTCTCCCTGATGACTAAGAACTACCACTAGCCTGGGAGGGAAGTCTCTGCTGCACCCCTATGTGACCTGCCAGTTTGGCTTGTGCAGAACAGGCCCTTAAAGAATGCCCGTGGGCTGACCTTGGTTCAGTTGTGTGGATTTTCTCATCACCTGTCCTCTGCATGACTTTCTGAAACCAACCTATTACAATCCTTGGTACTAGCACAAAGCCACTGATGTGGTGAAAACTCTGCCTGTATGTTTGTGCACATGAGTGTGCCTGCGTGCACGTGTGCACATGAGTGTGTCTGTGTGATGTGTGTGCACCTGAGTGTGCCCATGTGTATACATATGTGCTCCCTGTGCAGGACTTGGGGACAGCACAAGCAGGCTTCTTTCCCCATGGTGAGACAGCAGCAGATCTTCACTGGTGAGCCTCAGCTCCTGGGTTCTCTGCCATCATTTAGCCAGAAAGACCTTGGCCTTTCTATCCCAAAGGCCCTCACGCTGGTCTGTGGCATCACATTGATAAGTCTTGGGGAATGGCAAGGAGCAGAATGTCCTATATATTTGAACCTCTGTGTACCAGAGGTGGAACATACATTCTATGAAAATATAGAGACCTTCTGCTTCAGTGGCAGCTCCAGGCAGGCAGCAGGGGTGTCCAGTGGTCTAGAATATTTAGGGATTTCCCCCCTTGATAACAAAAGACATGCTACTGGACTTTAGCCCCCACAACGCCAGGTGGACCTCTGGATTTCTGTGGAAACTGATTTCTCTCATGGCTCATTGCTGGGTGACCTGGAAGGCTCTTTGTGTGGGGCCCTGGAAAGCATAGGCTCTCTGTCGGGTCTGCCTGTCCCCTGGCTGTCCTGTCCAGGGATCCCACAGCAGATGTGAAAGCTACATGGAGTCTGTGGCCAGTGCCATCAGAAATCAAGCCTGGGGCCCTGAGGTCTGAGGCACGTCCCTCCTGGGCCTTGGTGGAGACTTGCTAATAGAGCCTGACTGTGAGACCCCAACGCCAAGTGCCCGAGGAGGGTGTCTAGTGGTCACCATCAGCAGTCCCTACAGGATGGGACTGTGAGGCACCAGGAGGTAACCAGAGTAGGTGGCTCCCTTCCCTCCAGCACGCCAGTGTCTGAGGAAGAGCAAGTGCAGGCTGCATCCCAGGTGGCTGTCCTAGATCCACCTGCACAGCCACAGGGGACTGCCGCAGCACCCCGTGCTTCCCACTGTGGACAGGGAAAGGCTGATCTCTGTCCCTCCACGTGAAGTGCCTCAGAGCCTGCAGGGACTGAGGACAGGACCAGGGTCGGGGGACAGGACATGAGGAAAGGATTTTCAGAACAGGTGGGAAATGTGAGGATGCTGTATCCCATGGGAATACTTTCCTAAAAGCCCCCATTCCCCAGAGTCTCCCAGTCCATAGGCAGGCAGGGTGGTTGCCAGGAAACCAGAATTCAGAGGGGGTCTGTGACTGGAAGCCTAAGTTGGGACCCCAGCCAGGCTTCAGTGTTCTTCAGAGGGTCCCCAACACTCACTAGCACAAGTTTCTAAAGGATGCCCTCCCCATCCACTTCTCTCTCCCCTCCTGAAGTTGTATACACAGATTATCCCTGGGAGCTGTGAGTCACAGGCTGATCTTTCAGGTGCGCAGCGACAGGCTGAGGGCAGGACTCATTCAGGTCCGTCCCTGGGTCATCTGGCTTCTTGTTGCTTTCACTAGAGCTCTCAGCCCGGGAACTCACTAACAAACTCCGGTCTGCACTCCTAGGTGGCCACACCACCAAGCAGAGCAGCTCCGGGGGCTGGGGGGTGGGGTGGGGGGGACAGACAAGACCGTCCAGGACAACAACCCCACAGGTGTGCCACCAAGGCTTCCCCCAACAGCCTGTCCTGCTGAGAACCTGCAGCTGCTCCCTGCCCCTTTTTCTGCTGTTGGTCCACAGTCAGAGACACCCACCTTCCCACATGGCCCACCTGGGGGAAGCGGAGCCTGGCAACCTGCAGCAGCCACCCCTAGCTCAGAGCCCCAAAGCCCACCGCCCACCTAGGAGTCCGTACGCGGGCAGGTGAGGTAGAGACGTCTCAGTGGACTGGGTGCCCACAGCCGCTGGACAGCGGGTGGAAGTTCGGGCCTGGGAAGGAAAACCCGGCTTAGAAGTCTTAATAGCCCCACCACCGGGCTCATCTGGTCTAGCCGCGGCTCAGACACCCTTTTCCTTAAACTGGTGCTCCAAGCCCGCTTCTCCCTTGCGGGGTCCTGAGCTCAGGGACTAACAGCAACCACTTCCCGGGCGCCTACTGGGCCGGGCACTAACCGCCGGTCGCCCCGGATGCCAGGGCCGGGCGCGCCGAGGAGGATCAGGCGCTGGAAAGGCGGGCCGGGCGTTCGCTTTCGCCGAGGCTCCCCCCGGGCGCCCGGCCGCCCCCCCGCCA